GCTTATATTTTATGATAAAAGAAAACTTTCAAAAATATTAACAAGTCAGGACTGCTCTTAGGCAAGTGATGCGTCTCCGAGACAACTAAGCGATCAATCTCTATTTTCGACTTTCCTTGTCCACAAATTTTTCCTTTTTTTTACGTCTTTCTTACGTCTAGATCACCATCATACGTGGTTTGGAGCAGCATAATCAATTTCGGCTCTTGTGCTATAAACTTACTTTTGCTCACTAAAAAACAAACCTCACTATTATGTATTTCGATTTCTTAAATTCAGGAAAAAAAATGAATAGTAAAATCAAGTACTAGCAGATACTGACAGGCTTATGGGCATTCCTGCATTTTTAGATTCACAGAAAACAGGATTGCTTATTGTATTAAAAATATATTTAAAATAATCTTTCAATATTAGTATAGTATATTTAATAATATACACTGATGGACAAAAAAAATTAGCTCTCCAAGAAGGATTCGTCAAAATGAAACGAAATTTTACATACGTAATGATTATTTTTATATAAGTAAATGATTATAAAATCAAAGAAAAAGGATAATTTATTTCAGAGAAAAAGGCAAAAGAACGGAGGATTTAATACCCTGTTGAACCCCCTGTAGCGCTAATGCACGATGCGATATGATCGGGCATTGAGGCATACAAGTTCTGTATGTTGTCTTGAGACATTTCGTTCCGTATTTGCTGTAACCTTGCCTCTAGTTCGTTCAAACTCGTGGGATGCCCAAATCGCCGTCCCAAATGATCCCAGATATGCTCGATTGGAGACAAATCTGGGGATCGAGCAGGCCAAGGAAGGGCAGTAACAGTGCGGAGACATTTCGTTCCATATTTTCCTCACACGGCAAGGTGACACCCTTGCCGTGTGAGGCCGAGCATTGTCATGTTGAAAAATGGCTCCTGGGAGCCGTTGCATGACTGACAACACATGTGGTTGCAGGATGTCATGGACATACCGCTGGGCTGTCATGGTGCCACGGATCAATACTAGGGGTGGCCGAGTATTGTAGGCAATGGCACCCCATACCATCACACCAGCTGTGGGAGCGGTGTATTGCTGTAAAGCAAAGCCAGGATTAAGGCGTTCACCACGGGGTCTCCACGCACGAACACGATTGTCCTCACTGCTGAGATTGAATCTGGATTCTTCGCAAAAGACGACCTGGTTCCATTACGCTACAGTCCAGTTTCCTCGTGCGCGGCACCACTCCAAACGGAGGCGTCGATGGGTGGGCGTCAAGGGCAGCTCACGTAATGGGCACCGCGATCCCAAATGTCCTTCAGCCAGACGCCTTCGTATGGTTTGAGAAGACACAGGGGCCTCTAGTGAAGGTGCTACCTGTGCCTGGATGGCGACCGATGAAGCAGTTGGCTGTACGCTTGCATTTCTTACGATGTCTTTCTCGACGACTAGTCTGTCGAGGGCGTCCTGAGCCTGGTGTTCGTGTAAATGACATCTCTCGGATCCACTGGTCCCAACACCTCCTCACTACACAATCAGAGCGGCCTCATTGGCAAGCTACTCGCATAGCTGACCACCCAGCTTCCATCATGCCGATGATTCTCCCCTCTTAAACTGTGACAGCTGCTCATATTGTTTTCGAAAACGGCGTAATGGCATGTCTACCTCAGCTCTTTCTTAGTAAATGATTCAGCACACTCAAACAAGCTTTGGTTACCTGTTTTATACTTCACGGAGAACGACGCTAAACACCCTCTACCGGCTATACGTAATGCGCAATCACGCTGCATTTCTAATCATTTGCAAATCTCCTCGACATGTACCTTCATGCCAAGTTTCGTTACGATCCAGCAATTATTTCTTGGAGCGCTAATTTTTTTGTCCATGAGTATATTAGTATAATAAAAATTATCTAAACTAAAAACACATTTAAACTTATTATACTCTTAATTTAAATAGGATATTTAGTCAAAATCAGAAAATAGTTAGTAAAAACTAGTTTTAATCTAGAAATTCGTTGTTGTTAGTTCGTTAAAAACATAACATTTGTTTTTTCAATCAAATAATTTTCTATAAATCTGCATTAGAATAATTGTTGTTGTGTATAAGACGCCTGTTGGCGAGAAAAGAAACTGTGGCAACCCCTCTGTTGTATAGGAGAGGATTGGGGAGAGTCTTGAGAGAGAGGCAATTGAGATTATAACTTGTAAGAGGTAGGGGTGAAATGAGTCCGAACATATGAATAAAGATCTTTGTTGTTTTTGTAAGAAAGATGGAGTCGTCCAAATGCCCACACGAACACTATTCAATTCTCCAATACTTATCTAGTGTATAAGATGATTGATCTGATATAAAAATAAGTGTGAAAATAAGACGTTTGATTTTGAGCGCCGTATGCGGCGTACAGGCAAAGTTTTGTTTCCTTGTAAATATATGTGTATTTGAAAAATTATCTGGTGTCTTTATCTGAAGAAGAAGAATCACTACAATTGTCTTAAAATTCTATTATATGTCATTTTTCTGGTTAACATTGTTCTTTTATAACTCTGCTTTTTAAAAACAAATTGTAAGTTTTTTTTGTGGAGATTTGATGCTCCATTTCTTGGGGGGTTTGCCTAAGGCGGTATATAATCTGCATAAGTATAATCTTTTCAATTGCAACTAATTGCTGCTCTGATATATCATAAAGAATTCATCGGTTTCTCATAATTAAACATTATGCCTTATAATTATAATTACCATCCTAATAATTAAATTTCAGCTCTAAATCAGTTATCTTAAGATTTCATTTTAATTAAACTTCATTTAAAGAATTAATTAAAAATTGCAATACATTACAAATAAATTAAAAGAGAGATAAAAGAAATTAAAGCAACAATGGTAAATTTTTTATTATAAAAGAATCATACACATTACTTAAAAAGAGC